GTAATTCCCGATTTTTTTCACTGTACCGCAACGCAAGCGGGGGTCAATGTTCACGGTTTTCACTGTCACCTCTGTATTGTGAACTTATCATTACAGTTAGGAAATAATTCCTGGACTTTCTTTTTCCTGCAACTGTCACCACCGTGAATATATACTTCCGTGAACATGTCCATTTTTCTCAGGCCGTGAAAATTTTGCTTCCGTTAGTAGTAGTTACAATCTCGTCAAAAGTGTAAAGTAAAGCTGTCGAGATTTAAAGTGCGTGTCGTTGTATCTTTGTAAAATAAAAGGGAGATAATTGCCAAGTGCCAATTTTGTAAATACCTGTCGAGATTCAAACAGCTTGTCCTTGTATAATTGCAGTATGATTTATTTAGAATCTCTCATTTTTGTTTGGGGAAGGGTATGGAGTGAAATTCCTACATTTGCTCCGAAGCAAATGTTGGCCTTTCTAGTTTAACTAAGTATTATTCACTATTAAGAGTACATACTAAGGTATCCATTCTAAGCCTATACCTCTAGAGTCTAAACAGTTCTGGATGTGTATTTTCTAATTTCATAAACCATCTAAACCTAATTTATATCTTGTAGGTTGAGCTACATGTACATTAGACAGAATTTCTTCCCAGTACTCACATAAGCTTCCCTGAGTGTCTCACAGAAGTACACCACTCTGCCCTCCCCCTCAAACCCTCACCATCCCAGTACTCACATAAGCTTCCCTGAGTGTCTCACAGAAGTACACCACTCTGCCCTCCCCCTCAAACCCTCACCATCCCAGTACTCACATAAGCTTCCCTGAGTGTCTCACTCTGCCCTCCCCCTCAAACCCTCACCACCCCAGTACTCACATAAGCTTCCCTGAGTGTCTCACAGAAGTACACCACTCTGCTCTCCCCCTCAAACCCTCACCATCCCAGTACTCACATAAGCTTCCCTGAGTGTCTCACAGAAGTACACCACTCTGCCCTCCCCCTCGATGCCTCGGACCATGGGAGTCTTCTCCTGGTTGGTCTGGACGTAGAAGGGTTCCCTGAAGGGTGGCGTCCACTCGATGTGCTTCATTCTCATCTTCAGAACCTGGAGAAAACATTGACACATGCATAAATATTTCATCTTCAGGTTGTTTCTGTTTTAGTACTCAGTCTGTATGTTAGGTGTAGTATTTAAGTGGTATTATGCATATTCTATGTATAAAAGCATAAGAAAGCTGCCGCCGGCTCCCTACTGTCGCTAGCTACCATGGACTATGGAGAATGGCACCCAGGCCAGAGCCTTGTAGTTGTAGGAGGTGATTTTTGTTGTTGTTGTTGAGAACAAGCATAAATCAATATGCGTGTGGATGTCATCCATAAAATTAAATCAGAGTGTGGTCTAAACTGACCGGCATCTCGGCGGGAAACCTGGGTGCCTGCTGCGGACCCAGCTCCTTGGTGAGTGCGTACAGGTTCCGTGGCTCCCGCAGCTTGGGAACACGCTTCCCATGCTGGTAGTGGAACACGATCTGCGTTGTCTTCCTCAGCAGGTCTTCACACAGCCGGTTATCTGTGCACGAGTGGACAGATTTTCATCATGAGAAATAATATGTGCAGTGAAGGCATCTGCATAACAGTGTTTGTTTTTTGGTTAACACTAATAATCTTCCTAAAGTTGCCTAGGCCACACCAATTTAATTTCTTGGTTAACGGATTTTTCTAAAGAAATAATGGAGTGGGCGGGCGAAAAAAAATAAAAAATGAAAAACAGGACTAGGCATCCTATCATGGCCTAAAATGGTACGATTGGAGCCATGAAGTCAACACACCAGGCTGGTTCAAAATTTAAACAATGAATTTTGAACTTTTAATTATACCATTGCATTTGAAAGATGGAATAACTGTAACAGCTAGGATGAAAAGGACTGTTTTCAACTGTTCAGAGCAAAATATGAGCATTTTGCAGTTGATTCTGAATTTTTATTTTTATTTGCAAATCAGAAAAAAATGAAGCAGGTGAATCCGTTAACCAAGAAATTGAATTGGTGTGGCCTTAGTGCAAGAAAAATCATCCAGATTCACAAATACTCCAGTAACTGGATAGATTTCGAAAGCTGTCAGATATTCAAGTAGCATATCAATTCATATCCATTACATTATGTAATCAATATTATTCATAGTTGTTGGATCAATACCTGATCAACTACAGACTCCATTATTCACTTAGTCTAGTTCTTCTGAGGTGCTATGCAGAATACAGCTTTTGTGCAGGTGCAGTACGTTCTGCTGACGTGCTATGTCCAGCCTCAGGCCACATAATTTAATTTCTTGGTTAACTTTAATTTTTTTCTGATTTGCAAAAAAAAAAATTCAGAATCAACTGTAAAATGCTCATATTTTGCCCTGAACAGTTGAAAACAGTCCTTTTCTTCCTAGTTGTTATAGTTATTCCATCTTTCAATGCAGTGGTATCATTAAAAATTCATAATTCATTGTTTAAATTTTGAACCAGCCTGGTGTGTTGACTTCATGGCTCCAATTGTACCATTTTGGGCCATAATAGGATGCCTAGGCCTGTTCTTATTTTTATTTTCTTCTGAAAGTCCGCTCCATTATTTTTCTAGAAAAATCTGTTAACCAAGAAATTAAATTGGTGTGGTCTCATTGAAAGATAAAAGTGTAGCCTATACATGCATATTAAGCAGATATTAGAACATGGCCTTTTCTGGACTCACCTACGCTGTTGGACCGTTTGACGGTCTTGACGAGAGCGTGGTTCTCATACTCGTCCTCCTCGTCCACATCCATGGCATCGTGGTCGCTGTAACCCCCGCGGTAGCCTCGCGTCCGCTGCCACTGCTCGAAGGCCGAGAAGCTGGACCTGTAGCCTTCATTTCTCCCTGTGTGTGTTAAAAGAAATATGCATGCTTACCAAATTGTTCAAACATATTATGACATCACTGGTACAGCAAAAAATGTCAGACTCTATAAAACATCTAACGGACATTAGATATGATTTAGACATTGCTGAACAAAGGCCAATCGGGAGAACATTAAGTAGACATAGTTAATGAAAAACAACATTGAAATAACCCAAGACGGACATTTTATATCCATCGTCTCTTCTCATATCAGGTAGGGACACCCCTAGGAGACAGTCCTTTGTTTAGCACAATGCGCACTTATAAAGATATTAGCACCTGTCCATTAATTAATTGAGTCCTCCCATATAAATTGTCTTGGCTTTGTGCAGTGCTTTTCATATGGATGTGAGTTTTCACACTTTTTTTCTGAAGACATTCTGTCAGACACCTCATGAACAATGGAAAACACAACAAGCAAGACCTCCCCATTCTTACAAATGTTTAAAAAATGTCCGGAACTTTCGAGAATGTTAAATGTCCGTTAGACATTTTATAGGCTCTACCAGTGACATCCAAGCAAGCACTACGATCTAAATGAAAAACTACTAAATTTGTCCATACATGTTTCAAAAAGAGAGAAGAGATCCTGTAGACAGATCTTGTAGATACATCATGTAGATAGAGACATAGCACAGAAATGTAACACCTGTTTCTACTTGTATCCAAGTTATCTAACTTAGTGCATTTGGCTCATGTAGAGCGTGAATATGCAATAAAGTTCATTGTCATTGTCATTACAGAGCACAATCATGATGAAATTCTATAATCAATGGAGAAGGTGTAAACTCAAGATAGTCTTGTGTCAGTCATACATTTTGTAGATGATTATATTTACCTTCGACAAGAAGGTAGCATTTGTATGACTGTCTGTCTGTGTGTGTGTCAAACTAGATAACTCTAGAAGGTTTTAGATGCATGGATTGTCTTAAGTTGATTCTATTAAATAAATAATTAGTACTAGTAGTACGTAGGCATGTCTTGATGAGAACTAAAACTGATTAGATTTTGGAACCCCTGGCAGCTTGGTATGGTACCGCAGTGAAACTTCTGCATGCAGATAGGTCTTATGTTCTGGACATACACATAATGTAATTTTGGGCCCCCTAAAAGCTAACTATGGGATTTAGTTCAATCTTAAATTCTTGATCTTGACCAAACATTGTATATTCATTTGTCTGGTCAAATCAAGTACTTAATATCTAGAAGAAAAGTGGTCAGCAAATAAGGTTAGACACACTTTAACCTCCAGACTGCTAAGGTAGATGTTTTGTACTAAATTTGTTTAGTTATGGAGTTAGGCAGCAGGGAGAGGGTTAAGAAAACATTTGCTGCCATTATGTGACTAATCTGACAAGTGTGGCACACGACTTTGTTGTTTAGACTCCTGGAGTGAGCACACATGTACTTGTACTTTGAATCGGCAAACACTGACAGACAGTGCAAATTTCAACTGTAACACACAAATAACTCCAACAGCCACAACAGCATTCTATAAGCTACATATCAAGACTACTTTAGGATAGTGATGCATACCTAAACCCAATTTCAGGTTCAGGTCCGGATTCAAGTCCAGAGGTTTAGGTTCAGGTCCGGACTTGTAAGTCCGGACCTAAACCCATGGCATATACAAAATTGCATGTTGGCAACCTTGCAATGTTGTCTGGGGGAAACTTTGGCCACATAACATGGAGGCTGGTACTTGACGATGCCTGATGGCAATGTTTTCTTCATTTTGCAGCAAAGATTTTACAATCTACAGAAGGTTTTAGGTGGTTTGGAAAGAAAAGGGGTATGTGAAATGGTCTTTTATGGTAATAAGTCCGGACTCGGTTCTTGACTTTTAGGTTTTTTTGGACTTGAACCTAAACATTTTTTAAGTCTGGATCCAAGTCCAGTGAACCGGTATGCAGCACTACTTTAGGATGGACCTGGAATCTACAGGGTTTCATGAATATGGGAACGTTGAAAGCAAAAAAGTAATTGGCACTGAAAGAAAAAAAAAGTTCTATAAGAAAGCTGAGAGACAAAACCATATGGCAACCGACTTTCGCACATTGCTGACCTCAACAAAAAGATTGTAAAATTGCTGTTTTTTATAGACATAAACCCTATGAAAGCCTACCAGAAGGTACTCTAGGCCTCACTATGTAGGCCCAGATGTGAGACATTCAAACCCAATCAGACTTACCACACTTGGCAGCAAATCCAGCGGAACAGACAAACTAAAGATCGACAGTTACAAAACATAAACACCTGAGGACCAACTTTCACACCTGGCCGACTCACCTGTCATATTGCACCTGTCTGTCAAACACACCTGTCTCCTCGGTAATCACACCTGAGAGACGTCTTGGACGGAATAAGGTGGACCTAAGCACCTTAAGTTCTCAGAGTTTTGTGGGCAGGAGGCACGTTTGATTGGGATTTGCCGTGCAAAGACACCAAAGCCATTCTGCCGTGTAATGTTATCTTCAGTAATCCCTGGAGCTGAACTGTTGGCTATAGCAACGTTTCCTCCCCGGCACACCGCACAATCAGGACACCAGAAAGTGAAAACGCCCCAATCCAATTAACCACGACCTCCCCGTCCGCGGATGAAGGGGAAAACACGCGGCGCGGATTGGAAGTTTACGTTTTCGGCCTGAGTGGCAGCAGGCTGGAGAGGGGAGCCTTGATTGTGTGTGAAGTAACCATGATACCAGACCGCTCCGATAACTCAGTCTTTCACAGGGACAGACCCTGTTAGCATCTCTTCAAACACAAACTTTATCCACTTTTAGTCTGCACTATAGTAAACAGTGGTGTACTCTATACTCTGACATAGAATCACGTGGGCATTAGAATTAAAAACATTGTTTAATCCTATCTCGTAGTGGTTGGAGTCTTTATACATTCATGCTTTGCACCCCCGTTTCCAGTTGGACCTGTCCAGGTGAATAGTGGTTACACTACAACAATGGGTTCAGTGAAGTATGAAGCAGGGGAGGTAAGGGGTACTGTAGCATCACCTTTCCGCCCCGGGGTAACGTTTCACCTGCCCATTCACACCGCGAAATTATGTCTGAAAACCTAACGCGGCACACCGTACACTGACCAGGGGCTCACTGTACACTAGACATTCGGGGAAATACAAACAAACACCACATACATTTGTATTGTCACAGGGTCTGTGTCAGGGAAAGTGTGGTCTCTCTCACCGTGTCATCAAAATAGAGATTGGACAGATTACCAAACTGAAAAATCTTCAATAGGCAGGGTGCAAGGAATTTCCACTACATTCTATTTCACAAAAAAAAAAACAAGACCCCTACAAGTTAGAAGTTAAGATACAGAGAAAAAGACATATTAAATGACATTATTCAAAGATAGAAATCAGAAATAAGAAATCAGAGATTATCAGATAATATTACCAAACTCAAAAGACTCACATAAGCTCACTCAAAAGTTTTACCCAAATGGCAAGGTGCCAGGAATCTTAACTATTTTACAAAAACAAGAAAGATGGGTTAGTTAAAATACTGAGAAAAACATGCTAGGTAACTTTCAAAGATAGCAGAAATAAGAAAAAACACTTTCTCTTCAACTCTTCTTTGAAGTTCGTTTATACATCATGTTGGTAGATGAGATAGTAACAGTGTCGTATTTCGTGCAAAAAAAGTGGCTAGAATCAAGGGACTGTTTTGTCAAAGACAGTCCAAGGACTAAAAAAAAAACATTAAGGAATTGGTTTCTAAACACAGACACAGGAAATTAACTTCACATACAGTATAATAGGATTTTACACAGTCATGAACTTTATCACTACCGGTTAGCCAAATATTTACTCGGACACGAACCTCCGCCATCCCATGCACTGTTGCACTTTGGGTATTGAGTTCAACAGTTGACATGCCATTCCAGGGTGACATAGCTGGGTATCCACGTTACCTGGGCATCTCCAGTACTTACTGTGTTTCAATGGTGTTTATAGTTTATAGTTAAACATCACCATGTTTCTCTCTGTGGGCTGCAGAAATGTAGGCTATTGTTTATACGATTAAGTGGCATTATGACTATTTATGCACGAAAAAGTTTACATGTAAATATTTCAATTGAAAAAATTGTGTATTTACTTTTACTTTGATAAATTTTGTACAATTACATGACTCTCAGTTCATTTTTGGCATGATTGATGTTGGCACTAAAACATCCCATAAGAAGTATAATATTATATACACTCAGTTTGTGGTACCACCACAAAATATCAGAATGTAAACAAACATGGCTGACAGCTGTGTTTCCCACTTTTAAACACACTGGTAAGGCATCATATTTTGGCACCTCCACTTCCTAAATGACACTTATTTGCAATGGAGTAGGGTTGATTCAACTTACTTTGTAAAGAAATAACCAGAAAATTGACTTTTTGTATCGTCCTTATGTTGCATGATGCAGCTTTAACTTAAAGATACGTTTGTCACACAATGGCTAAATCTTTAAATCTACCCATGCATGAAGCTAAGAATACCACCTGTTTGTGTTATGTATCACTGGCACACCTGTATCACTGGCACACCTGACACAACTGTATCACTGGCACACCTGGCACACCTGTATCACTGGCACACCTGTATCACTGACACACCTGTATCACTGGCACACCTGACACAACTGTATCACTGGCACACCTGGCACACCTGTATCACTGGCACACCTGTATCACTGACACACCTGTATCACTGGCACACCTGACACAACTGTATCACTGGCACACCTGTATCACTGGCACACCTGTATCACTGACACACCTGTATCACTGGCACACCTGTATCAATGGCACACCTGTATCACTGGCACACCTGACACAACTGTATCACTGGCACACCTGGCACACCTGTATCACTGGCACACCTGACACACCTGTATCACTGGCACACCTGTATCACTGGCACACCTGTATCACTGGCACACCTGACACACCTGTATCACTGGTACAC